GACCCTGTCTCTCTCAAAAAAAAAGAAACTTTTTCTTGGAAGGAAGAATTGTTAGATAATGGGGCAGTGCCCTGTCCTTCTGAGGGCAGTGAGGGGAGAACAGTTTCTGGTGCTTGGCTGGCAGGCTTTGGTCGTCGGGATCTTAATGCAGTATTTCTCCCTCTGCATGTCTGTGTCCAAAAAATCAGGTTCTGCAGTACTGAAGTTAGGACTTCCCCATGGGAATGTGGCAGTACACACTGTAACACTTTATAAGAGCAGGAGATACCCAGTGGTACCTTCTGGTAAGGCTGCTCCCTGTTTATGTTTCAAGTGGTACTTGACATTTTTCTTGTATGAATTCTTCCTGATTTCGCCTCCTGTCTCAGTGGTGACACCTTCCTGATGTGTTTATATACTGGGTATTTTGCCAGGCCCTGGGGTGCAGCCATTAAGTAGAGCAGACAGGTATATGATGTGTTCTCCCAGGGAAACCAGCCAAGAGAAGGGACAAAGGTAACTGCTGCAGGCCTTGCATTCATTGGTGGCAGCCCAAAGAAGTAATGCTTGAAACCTGAGCAATGATGTGGAGCCCATGTACCCTAAATGTAAAGCCACAGAAAAAGTAGGATACGTGTAGTTAAGAGGGTAGACAGGAGCCACTTCTGTCTCATAAGCCATGGTGAGGATTTTGTTTGAGGTACATTGGAACATTTTTTACAGAGATGGCTCCATTATCACTAAAAGAATGGGGAGGGCACAAAGTTGGAAGGGCAAAGACCCCTCTGATGACTTGGTCCAAATGGGATATGGTGGCACCCGGATTATGCAGTTGGCATGGAATCCAAAGAATTAGATTGCAGCTTAAGCATGGGGAGGGTGTGTGATGGGTCAAACACCGTTTTCATAAAAAGAGGAACCCAAGATGTACTGTCTGGTTCTTTTGGCTTTTGCTGTTGTTAAATCATTGAAAAGTTTGGAGTACATCTGTTAATAGGAAGGGATTCCTACATTTGGAGGGAGATCAAGCACTCTGTCTTAAACTGATAAGGCTGGATGTTCAAGGTAGAAATGTGGGGTTTAGTGTGATTCTCATGGACGGCAGTGGCTGCGATGTTACAGTGTTCGAGGAGCCCAGCAACTGTTTGTGTCTCCTGTGTCTTGCATGTGGGCAGTAGTAAATATTTACCTAGTGTATAACTGGGAACTGCCCTTCATTCCCAAGCATAGGCTCTGCTGCAGGGTAGTCATGATGGGACAGGGAGAGTAAGGTATAAGCCCCTTTCTCTGTGCCACCGTAGAAGTGAGCTGCTACTTGCAGTGCTGAGCGAGAAGACCATAGCTTGTTATAGCTTAACTGTAGCTTGTTAAGTTCATCTCTGGAATGTTCAGAGCAGCTAAAGTTGCTGTGTAAAATGCAGCTTTGGTTGTGGAGTGAAACTCAGTGGTAGAACTGAGCTAGCCTGAGCCAGCCCCTGGCTTTGATCCCCAGTACTGAAAAAAAAATTGTTTTTTAAGGCAGATTTGTGAAAGCAGATAAATCTATATTTTTAACACATTCCTTGGTGATATTAGTGCATACTAAACCTGAGAAGTATGGTGGTATTCTGCCCTGAACCTGTGTTGTTTGATCTGCCTTATTCTACCACTCTGTGCTTCTAATTCTCTTTAAACAGTGGGGCCGGTTGCCCTTTTTTTCTTTTCTTTTTTTAACCAGTAATATATGCCAGTTGAGCCCACATCTTTCTTTTATTACTTTCAGCCAAAATTAGACTTTGTATGTGAAGAGATTATTAAATGCTACTTAATTTTCCCCCTTTCTGTTTTGTAGTCCCATGAACGTGTTAGCAAGCGTCTGCATCAGAGGTTCCAGGCCTGGGTAGATAAATGGACCAAGGAGCATGTGCCCCGTGAAATGGCAGCGGAGACCAGCAAGTGGCTCATGGGTGAAGGGCTGGAGGGCCTGGTGCCCTGTACCACCACCTGTGACACAGAGACCCTGCACTTTGTAAGCATTAACAAGTATCGTGTCAAATACGGCACAGTGTTCAAGGCTCCTTAACTGCAAAGCCAGAGCAGTAACTTGAGGGTGTGTGTGTGTGTGCGCGTGTATATGTGTGCGTGTGGGCGGGCATGTGCACTCACACATCCTGAAGAAGCAAGGAAGATGCCTTCCCAGCCTCCCTTGGCCTCCCTGAGACATGGCCACTGGGCGCAGCCTGTCATCAGGTGGGATACATGCCTAAGGAAGGTGGACACCTTGCAAAGCCGGAGCTGGCACTTCCCCAGAGATGTCAGCTATTGGCCTGCCCTGCAGGGGAAGAAAGCCCATGCAAGCAGAGACATGTGGTTGCTTGCTACACCAGCAGAGCTAAGACTCGTGTCTCCGGTGGCCTGACCTATGATGGAGGAACCCACGCTATTCATGCTTCAACTGGATGGAGGTGCACTTACAAAACAGACTGGGGAAGGACTGGGTCAAATGGATTATAACTGGGATGGTCACGGCTCCTCCCTCCTCCCACCAAGGGAAAAGAGACTGGATTTTTTTGATTTTTTTTTTCCCCCTGGTCACTTGAGCACATCTAAGATCACACATTAGATTTTATGTGGGACCTCTAGTTGGCTTGGGATTGATCATCTTGTGGATCTGATTCCTGATGATTCCCTTGCTGCCCATCCCTTCTCCTCTGGTTCTCAACCTCAAGAAGTTCAAATCAGTCATCCTTTTTAGCTCCTGTGGAACTGTTTTGTACCTGCTTCTTTACTAGTCTCCCTAGTGCTATCCACCAGCTTTACTCTGACACACATGTGCGCGTACACACACAGTTTTAACTTTTTTTTTGTAAATAATGTACATATTGTCAATTTTTTATTAAAAGAAATATGCTTTGATGTGCTAGTGTAACTGCTCTAGCTTCTTGTGTACCATAGTACTATGTGGCTTCAGATTTAGTACCTATGAAGAGATGTATAAGACATTTATTACACTTTTTACCAAAGGGAGTTACCATTGTAGTACTTTTATGTAAAACTTGTCTTCCCTTTTGCTCCAACTTCTTTTTCTTTTTTTGTTCTTTCTTTTTTTTTCTTTTTCTTCTTTTTTTTTTTTTTTTTTTTTTTTAAATAAATAAAGCTTGGTTCTTACTTAAGGAATAAATTCTCAACCCAAGTCCCTTGTCCTCATCAGAGAGCTGTTTTAACAAGGCAGGATTTCTGGCTTCAGTTCCTTCTCAGTACAAACAGGATTTTGCTTTAAGAAGTAATAGTGACTTGCACTTGTCCCAAATCAAAATATCCCAAAATTTTAAAATGGACTTCATTGTTGTTGGGTTTTTTCCTACTTTATTCTTTTAGTGCAATTTCCCACCTCTGCAATTATGTGAAAATATATTTGGATGAGTTGCTAAGCAAGATAGTATTTCTATCTATATTTTTCTTATCTTTATTAGGAATGAGGATGAATAACTTAACATACCAAACCAGTATTTGAAAGTTTTATGTGAATTGTAAGGTAAAAATGCTGTTGGGAGGGAAGAAGATTTGATACATTTCCTTAAGCAACTACAGATGTGAGCTACATAAACACGTTTTTTAATTATATACATTTAAAGTGGTGCCTTTTTTGTTGTTTTGTTTTTTGTTTATTTTTTTGTTTGTTTAGCCAGAATCTCACCATGTAGCCTAGGTTGGCCTGGAACTCAGGCAATCTTCCTGCCTCTCTTGAGTGTTGAGTGGTGGGACTGTGGGCATGCACCACCAGCACACCTGGCTCTAAACTAGCATACATTTAAACATGAATGATCAGGACTTGCATACGGTTAGCCTGGCCCTTTAGTAATAGAGCTGATTTTTTCTCCTGCCGTCACCTTACATACAGTTGTAATCAACAATAGTTTTTGTTTGTTTTTTAATTTAAAATCACCAGTACTATATAAAGAAAAATGAGGTTTTTGGTTCCTGGGTTTTTAAAACACAAGCAGATCTCTGTTTCTAGGTTTTGTAGTTGTAGGGGGACAAGAGACTGAACCTAAAGTGCAGGGTGGCACAAAGCTTGTGGGCAGAGGTGGTTCCAGGCGGACAAACATTTGTACTGCGTAGGGAAAGACCTTGAGGCTGTCTTGCAATGGAGTTGGGCCTGTGGGGGGAACTGGAGGAGCAGGACCCTGCAGTGTTGTCTAGAGTACCTGCCTGGAGGTCAGGATAGAATTTCAAGCCCCGCTCAGGAGAAAACCACAACCCAACAACGCAGTCAGCAGACTGGGGACCTTTACCTGCAGCCACGGTTTACACCGCTTTTTTACCTTCCTGCTTGATACCTGGCTTCAACCTCCATGCTCTAAACCCAGGGAGCATTGTTTCTGTGTAGAGCAGAAAGCTCTTGAAGCCACAGCTGGCATTCTGTCCCTAATCACCTAAAAGTATAATCTTTTTTCCTGGTGATTTTATAAACAAGGAAAACTCTTGACTACCTCAGGAGAACAAAACGGCTGCCACGAGCGGTAAGGATGCGAATGGAATTGCAGGCCCTGCTTCTGGGCTCCTGGGCTGTTCTGTTCTCTGTGTTGACTGGCTTTAGTCCACTGGGTGTATGCCTTAGGCAAAGCGTTAGCAACCAGTGAACCTGAAGTAGAGCGTGTGACAGGAAGGAAAGGTTTTGGGGTCCCTTCTCCCTGTCCTTGGACACTGCTGCCCATTGGCGTGAAAGCGCCCATCCAGGCTGCCTGGCTCTGTGCTACCAAGGCTCCGGCGAGACCTGGGGACAAGGGACCTACTCCTGACAGTTGCTTCAGGACCTGCCAGGCCGAATAATTGGTCCAAGTCCATCCTAGGGCCCTCGTCACACTTCCCGTTTCATTTAGATTCACCTGCTGCCTGCCTGCGCAGATGAAGTAGGAGAGCCTGGAAAGCGCAAATCGTTTTCAACTCGGCTCAGCTCGAGATTAGGCTACTGAGAGCTGCCAGTGTTGCAAGGAAAGCGGCCCGTGTGGGGGGGGCGGACACCGGAACCTTTGGTTCCCGGCCTCAGCGGCATGCAGCCGTCCGGCAGAGCAGCGGGCGCCTGGCGATGGCGGCAGTGCCGGCTGTGAAGCATTGGCGCACGGCGCTAGAGCGGGTGGAGAAGTTCGTGTCGCCACTCTACTTCACCGACTGCAACCTCCGCGGCAGGTGCGAGCGGGGACGGGGACCAATCCAGGGAGACTTGCGTAGTGGAGCGGCCGGGCTCGGGAAACACATCCCACTCTTCTACCAGGCTCTTCGGGGACCGGCGCCCGGTGGCCGCACTCGCCAGCTTTCTGACGCCAGAGCGGCTGAGCTACGAGGACGCAGTGCAGCAGGACTTCCGCCCAGCGCAGGTCGGCGACTGCTTCGGACCCACGTGGGTAACCTGGTGGGAGCCTGCCCGAGGCCACACCCCCACCCTATTTCCCCGACCTGCCGCTGGGGTGGCACAGCTCCCCCTGCCGGGCGGCTCGGATTCTGCGAACTTCCTGGAAGTTTCCACCTGGTCCTTTCTCTGGGACACTTCTAGGCGCGCCTCTGATTGCCTTTCCCTTCCCTTCCCTTTTCGCCCACCCTTCCCTCCTTTCTTGTGGCTGAGTACTTTGCTGCAGACGCGGAGCAGGTCTCAAGCTCCTGCTGATACTTCAACCCAGGAAGTCAGCCAGGAGGGACTTCCACCTCTGGGCACATCTCCCTGGCTCTTGTAGATGGTGGACCTGCTGGTTCCGGGTGGAGCTGATCATCCCCGAGGCGTGGGTGGGCCAGGAAGTTCACCTGTGCTGGGAAAGTGATGGAGAAGGCCTAGTCTGGCGTGATGGGGAACCAGTCCAGGTGAGTGGCCCTGCCCCAGGACCAGGTACACGTCTGAGCCCCAACTGAGTGGCTCTACTTGCAGGGCAGTCTCAGGACTTAAGGACTGTGGAGGTTATACTTGGGCACCTGTGCAATGCTGGTTTCAATAAAGTTTTATATTCTGTGTAGTACATTCTTAGGGAGAAATTTTCAGAGTTTTCGATGCTATAAAGTAAGACATTTAGGTTATCTTCACATCAGGCTTAAGCTTTATAATCCTACAGGGCTGGTCTTTTTTTTTTTTTTTTTTTTTTTTGTTTTGGTTTTTCTCCGGTACCGGGAACCGAACTCACAACCTTGCGCTTGCCAGGCAGGCGCTTTTGCCGCTGAGCTAAATCCCCAGCCCCCTACATGGCTGGTCTTTATGTTCACTTACAGATAAGAACCAGATAGACTTTTGTTCACTGGTTCACACAGCTTTCATTCCAAACTGGACTCTCAGTCTGGGGTTAGGACTGTTGTGTTTCCTGTCCTAGAAGGAAGAACCCTTCTCCCTCCCTCTCTCCTCTCCTCCCTTTTGACCCAACTAGTGGGCACAGCCACCTAGTACCCACTCCATAAAGTACTGGGGACGTAGCAGGGGCAAAGCGAATCTGCCCTGGCTTTATGGAGTTTCTCTTCACATATTTAAAAATTCAGGCTACAGTGGCCATCATAAACCACACCCAGTTCTGTCCAGAACTCTTGACATAAGACCATAAGCTTTTCCACTGGCAAACAAGTACCATTTGGTGGTCAGGATGCTTACTGCCATGGGATGTGGGGCCCTGCCTAGGAGAGAGAGCCTAGCCCTGGAGACCAGGCAGAGGGGCTGGCCCGCCTCTGCTTATGCATCCCTTGAACTGTCCAAAGATGTGGGCCCTGCCACTTTCTCCCCTCCCTATTAGGGTCTAACCACAGAGGGTGAGAAGAACAGTTATATCCTGACCAACAAGCTGGGAGAAGGAGACTCCCGGAGGTGAGTGAGTACCTGTGCCCTGGTGGACACTTGGGTGGACAGAGAGAAGGCCTGAGGGACCTTAGAGGTACTGCTACATCCAGCATAGCCATTATCAGAGTCTGGTTGAGAAAGTAGGCCTTTGCCTGACTAAAAACAGTGTTTACCTTCTTGTGGTAAGTACAGACGAGCCCAAAGAAGTAAATCTCTCCCATTGTCCACCACTTAGAGAAGACAGTGTTCATATTCTCAGTGTTTCAGTAAAAAATCATTTTTACTGGTTGAGTTAAAGTGCTTTGATTCTCCCTCCACCATCACCAGGGAATTGCCCAGAGGCTTGCTCCTACTGGTCAAGCTGCCTACCATTGAGCTACACCTCTAGCTCTGCTTTGATATTTTGCACTGACTTTTTACATCCCATAATATAACATGGGCATCTTATGATACCACGTGAAGAGCTTCATAGACATTATTATTTTGTTTTCTATTTATTGAACACTGTTTCAGGTACTTCTACATACTGGGAATATGGTGGGGAATAATGTAGTCCTCAACAACAGAGAGACAGAAATACTCATGAAAGTCAGGCAAGATGGCACATGCCTCTAAATCCAGCACTCTGGGAGGCTGAAGCAGGTGAATCACAAATTTGAGCCTATCCTTTGCATCTTAGCAACTTGGCAAGACTGTCACACACATACACACACACAGGAGGCTGAGGGTGTAGCTCAATGTGAAGATCTGAGGTTCATTTCCTGATAGTGCTGAAGAAAAAAAGGAAAACTCATTTTTATAAAACACATGAAGGAAACTATTTTATGATAAAAAATTTAGAAAGCATTTCTCATTATAGTATCATGTCTTTTTCCTAAAAAGAAAAATGAAGGGTCTGAAAGAAAATGCTAGGAGTTGAGTATGGGATGTGTTCTAGAGAAGCTGGCAGTAGGAGAGTTTTTTTATTTTGGGTTTTTTTTTTTTTTAGACAGGGTCTCTATATAGTTCAGGCTGGCCTTGAACTTACTATATAACCCAGGCTGGTCTCAAACTCGCAGCAGTCCTCCTGCCTCAGCCCGCTGAGTGCTGGGATAATAGGCATGGACCAAGGAGCCTGGCTGAGAGGAAGTTGAAGGCTTCCCTCGGCCGAGGTTACCCTGAGAGACTTGAATGGAATAGCTCCCACTCTTGCTGGCTACTGGAATTTGGGCTGAAAAGTCACACTTAATACACAGGGTAGGTTCTGAGGCTAAGGCAGTACTTTGCTTATACAACTTTGGAAACAAGAGGCTAAGAAGTGGCATGATTCACAGGCTTCCAAGCCAGGCCATTTACTATCCCTGACCAGGGCAGGATACTCAGCAGGACACAGCTTAGGCCTGGGGTTTCTGCCACAGACCTGGCCACTGTGGATCCTCTAGGTGGTGGGTTGGGAGGGGCAGCTGGACACCTCTGTGCTCCTTCCCCGGCCTCAGGAGGTCCCTGTGCATTGCTTGGCCTGAGGCTGCCTCCCCGTGTTTGCAGCCTGACCCTCTATGTGGAAGTGGCCTGCAATGGGCTGCTGGGGGCTGGGAAGGGAACCATGATCGCCCCCCCTGACCCCAAGAAGATGTTCCAGCTGAGCCGGGCCGAGCTGGCCGTGTTCCACCGGGACATCCACCAGCTCCTGGTGGACCTAGAACTGCTGCTGGGCATAGCCAAGGTACTGATACCCCACACCCTGGTCACACTCTAGAGCCTGCTCTGGATGTGTTGTTTCTTTGGCTAGGTCACTGGGACTCTGGAATCCAGGGCAAGAAAAATTCCCTAAATAAAGGGAAATGGCCTAAGGGGAGACAAAGGGCTGGAGGCCCTGCTGGGAACCCTGTAAAGTCAGCTGAGCCCAGTGCTGGAGCTGTGCTTGAGAGGGGACTCAGGGGCAGAATCCCTCACAGGGCCTCGGGAAGGACAGCCAGCGCAGCTTCCAGGCCCTGTACACAGCCAACCAGATGGTGAATGTCTGTGACCCTGCCCAGCCTGAGACCTTCCCAGTGGCCCAGGCATTGGCCTCTCGGTTCTTTAACCAACGTGGGGGTGAAAGTCAGCATACTCTTCATGCCATGGGGCACTGCCACATTGATACAGGTAGGTGCCACAGGTTGGGTTAGCTGGGAAGGAAGAAGCCAGAGCCCTTGAATCCTAGCTGTGCCCAGGAAGCACTGTGTAACTCTCAGCAGTCCCATGCCCTTCTTGGGCCTCAGTTTTTCCACCTGTAAGATGGGACAAGGGCACTCAACTATGGGCTCTTACTGTGGCTTAGTTATTCTGTCAACAAAACTGGCTGTCTCACAGGTCCTATGCCAGAGGCTGGGGTAGCATCGCAGAGGTGATGGCTACAGAGTGACCACAGCTATGGTGACACATGGGGATGCCCTGTGGGGAACCCAGGAGAGGCACTTAACCCAGCTGAATGGAGCAGGGTGTGATTGAGAACATTGTACTGGTCCTCAAAGACAGAAGGTGTACAGTTAACTGAGACTGGGCCCAAGCACCAGTATCATAAGTCAGCTCTGGTCTTTGGGAGTTCATTGTCTTTTAAGGTCATGAGAAGTCCACATTTTCAACATGCTTCCTACCATGTTGATTCTGGTACAGAGGAGATTTCTGAATCACAGAACGAGATTCTCTGCTGTGTCACAACTTGGGGTGTATGTTTGTATGTCAGGGTGCACGGTTCCAGACAGGTAAAGAAACTGAGGTCTCCTTCCCCACCCTCTCCGACCATGCAGGGGACTTGAAGTGATAGCTGAGGAGGAGATCATGGCCCCCAGGAGTGAATGGCCTGGCCCCTGGCCATGAGAAGGGCTAGAATGGCAGGGTGCTGGGACAAGGAAGAGGCAGGGGACCTTTGGGGACCTCTCCACTGCATTCTTGCCCTCTCCCTCTCCAGCCTGGCTGTGGCCCTTCAAGGAGACTGTGCGGAAATGTGCCCGGAGCTGGGTGACAGCCCTGAAGCTCATGGAGCAGAATGCTGATTTCATCTTTGTCTGCTCCCAGGTCGGGGGGTCGCTCCCTGGGACAGGGTGGGTCCTGGAGCTCCCCGCACCCCAGAGCCCCAGATTCTCAGCCCTGAGTGAGGTTCTTGTCACCCTGGGCCCATCTCTGTCCACCTCTGCCCCACAGGCACAGCAGCTTGAGTGGGTAAAGAGCCATTACCCCGGCCTGTATGCCCAGCTTCAGGAGTTTGCCTGCCAAGGGCAGTTTGTGCCCGTGGGAGGCACCTGGGTGGAGATGGTGAGTGCACCAGCCTCCCCTCAGTCCCAGTCCCCATGGCAGTGGCCTTCCCCCACGTGGCCAGCCCCTTGGCTGGATGGGTGATTTTATGGAGGCTGCTTCTGCCCCCTTTGTGACACTACTTAGTCCCCCGGGGTTCCCAGGGGAGTGGGTCTGATCCCAGCACCACCACAGGAAGATGCACTTTCACACTTGGCAGGAAGTGAGGAGGTGGGCACTTCCTGAGGCCCAGCCTCTCCTGCATCAGGGATGTGGGGCTGGCCCACAGCCCTGCCTGCCTTCTGCCCACTCAGGCTGACCAACTGCCTCTCCTTCCCCTCACCAGGATGGGAACCTGCCCAGTGGAGAGGCCATGGTGAGGCAGTTCCTGCAGGGCCAGAGCTTCTTCCTGCAGGAGTTTGGAAAGCTGTGCTCTGAGGTAAGTAGAGCTGCCACTGACATGGTGTGGCTGGGCTCTCCCAGGGCGCTGGGTGCTGAGGCTCAGTCCTACCTGGCCCTGTCTCTACAGTTCTGGCTACCGGACACGTTTGGCTACTCAGCGCAGCTACCCCAGATCATGCGTGGCTGTGGTATCACACGCTTCCTGACCCAGAAGTTGAGCTGGAATTTGGTGAACTCCTTCCCTGTGAGCACATCTCAGGGTCAGGGTCGCAGCAAGCCTGTTATCTCTGCCCAGGCTTAATGAGAGGCCCCATTGCTTCTCAGCCTTTTGGCTAAGATCAAGTGTAGTATTGAGAGGCCCCAGCAGACCCCCAGATCCCCATGCAGAGTGTAGTAAGGGGGTGGGGCTCCATCAGCATTGTGCAGTAGGCAAGCCAGCGCAAGGACCTGTTCAGGAAGGCCACCTTGCTTCAGCCTGACCCTCTCCCCTGACTCTGTCCCCTGCTCTAGCACCACACCTTTCACTGGGAGGGGCTGGATGGCTCTCGTGTGCTGGTCCACTTCCCACCTGGTGACTCCTATGGAATGCAGGTCAACGTGGAGGAGGTGAGGGGTACCAAGGGCTGGATGAGGGGCAGCTAGAGAGGGCCAGGCATCCTGGGCTAAGTGGGCCCACACGCACTGCCCTCCATCCAGGTGCTGAAGACTGTGACCAACAACCAGGACAAGGGGCGGGCCAACCACAGTGCCTTCCTCTTCGGTTTCGGTGACGGGGGTGGCGGCCCCACTCAGACCATGCTGGACCGTTTGAGGCGCCTGGGCAACACCGACGGTCTGCCCAGGTCAGGCTTAGCTCCCATGTAGCCATTTCAGCCCTGGTCTCAAAAATTCACTGTGCTCCTGCACTGGGCTCAGCCCCTCCACCCAACCTTGTCCTCCAAGCCCTGTCCCCCAACTTCTCCAGGCTTCACCTAACAGGGAGGTGGGAGGGGCAAGCACCATAGTGGGCAGGAGCCTGAGCCCACCAGAGAGAGAGCAGTTCCTGAGTTTCTGGAACCTGTGCTGGGTGCACAGGAGCTCTGTGGGGGGGCTCCCCACTGGGGCTGTACCTCTTGTCTGTGTTCTTGGATTGGAAAACTGCAAGGCCCAGGCTTTGGTCTCCCTCAGGGTGCAGCTGTCTTCTCCCGACCAGCTCTTCGAGGCACTGGAGAGTGACCAGGGCCAGCTGTGCACGTGGGTCGGGGAGCTCTTCCTGGAGCTGCACAATGGCACCTACACCACCCACGCCCAGGTCTGCAGTCTGCTGGGGGCAGGGCGGGGGCAGAGCCCAGCTATTCCGTCCCAAGAAGTGACATGCAAGGTCTAGGCCCCCAGTGTGCTGAAGGAGAAGTGCTGGGTGGAGTGGGCAGTGGGGTTTGCAGTTCAGGCGGCTCTAGAATATCCTAGGGTACTCAGGTAGGCTCCAGACTCACCCACCTCTGCGCCCTGGGCACAGATCAAGAAGGGGAACCGGGAATGTGAGCGGATCTTGCACGATGTTGAGCTGCTCAGCAGCCTGGCTCTGGCCCGCAGTGCCCACTTCCTGTACCCAGCAGCCCAGCTACAGCACCTCTGGAGGTCAGCCTGACACCTGCCCCTGCCAACTCCAGACCCCTCCACCACTGCCACTGCCAGCATCCCATCCCCACCCTTGCTGCCCTCCATAGGCTTCTGCTCCTGAACCAGTTCCATGATGTGGTGACTGGAAGCTGCATCCAACTGGTGGCAGAGGATGCCATGAAAAACTACGAAGGTAAGGCTGACAAGTCCTGCTGCCCTCTGCAACTCAGGGCTGAGCTCAGGGCCTCTCCCTGCCACGCCCCACCTCCCCTAACCCCTGTGGAACATACAGGTTACCCAAGCCCATGACCGACCCCTCTCTCCACAGACATCCGTTCCCATGGCAACACACTACTCAGTGCTGCAGCTGGTGCACTATGTGCTGGGGAGCCTGGGCCCGAGGGCCTCCTGGTTGTCAACACACTGCCCTGGAAGCGCACAGAAGTGCTGGCCCTTCCCAAGCCTGGTGGGACCCAGAGCCTCGGTAGGAGCAGAGAGGAGGAACCCAGGTCACCAGACCAGGAAAAGCACACTCCCCTGGGGGTTTCTAGGGGTCTCAGGGTGCCTCATGCCAGAGAGTAGGAGCCATAGCCTTCACCACCCTGCTTTGACCTGAGCGAGGTGTCTGGACGGTCAGTGGCTCACACTGATGACTGGGCCTCACCCTCAGCCCTGGTGACCGTGCCCAGCATGGGCTATGCGCCTGCTCCCACCTCCACCTTGCCGCAGCCTCTCACACCCCAGCAGCCAGTATTCGTAATGCAGGAGGTGAGTCCTGCGGCCCCCGGGAAGACAAGGCTGTCCTAAGTGCTTCTGAGCCTGGAGCCAGGGGGCTGGAGCTGGGCCGGGGGTCAGGGGGGTTGGTTGTGGGAAGCCCCTGCAAGCTCAACCTCAAAGTCCCGCCCACCCAAGACTGACGGTTCCGTGACTCTGGACAATGGCATCATCCGAGTGAGACTGGATTCAACTGGCCACCTGACGTCCCTAGTCCTGGTGGCCTCTGGCAGGTGCCAACCCCTTGCTGTCATTTCTCTATACCTTTCTCCCCGTCCCTTGGCTACAGTTGCCCACTAGGGCCTCACCAGGGACCCACTGTGGATGGGGCAGGCTGGGCCAGGAGTTCCCTGTCCCCACTTACCCTGCCCTACTCTATCAAGTATGGCTGGAGCGCACAAGGTCATACAGATGTGAAGTGCCAATTTCCGTGTCCTTTCAGGGAAGCCATTGCTGAGGGTGCTCTGGGGAACCAGTTTGTGCTGTTCGATGACGTCCCCCTATACTGGGATGCTTGGGACGTCATGGATTACCACCTGGAGACACGGTATCCACTGGGCAGGACTTGGAGGACAGGAGGTGGGGATATAGGCTGTCCTGGCTCAGTGTCCCCCTCTATCTCACAGGAAGCCCTTGCTGGGCCAGGTAGGGACCCTGGCTATAGGCACTGAGGGTGGCCTTCGGGGCAGTGCCTGGTTCCTGCTGCAGATCAGCCCCAACAGTCGGCTCAGCCAGGAGGTTGTGCTGGACATTGGCTGCCCCTACGTCCGTTTCCACACAGAGGTAGCTGGGACAGGGTGGTCACCACCTTTGCCAGGAATGGCTAGGGAGGCGGGATTGGTCCCAGCTAGGGGTGATCCTATCTTCCCTTCCCTTGTGCTCCCAGGTACACTGGCATGAGGCCCACAAGTTCCTGAAGGTGGAGTTCCCTGCCCGTGTGCGGAGCCCCCAGGCCACCTACGAGATCCAGTTTGGGCACCTGCAGCGGCCTACACACTACAATACCTCTTGGGACTGGGCTCGATTTGAGGTCTGCCACAGAGTAGAGGAGGAAGGGGCTTGGCTGGGAGAGAAGCTGCATGGTAGGGAGAGGAAGCGGAGGAGGACCAGCAGTTGCCTTAGTTTGATACTCATGAGGAGGTGAGGCAGACAGGTTGGGTGGCATGCCTAAGGTTTGCTAAACCGGGGGCTAGAATTCAGTCCTAGTAACAGGCATGCTGAAGACTAGAGGCCCAAAGAAAGGAGTAGGGTGACCAAGTTGGCATGGGCCTGCCACAGGTGTGGACCCACCGCTGGATGGACCTATCTGAGCATGGCTTTGGGCTGGCCCTGCTCAACGACTGCAAGTATGGAGCCTCGGTGCGAGGCAATGTCCTCAGCCTGTCGCTGTGAGTGGGCCCTCCCAGGCTGGGCTGTTGTGGGGGTCTGGTCTTCCCAGGCCAAACTCCAGCCCTGCCCTCCCTCCTACCCCAGTCTGCGGGCTCCTAAGGCTCCCGATGCCACCGCTGACATGGGGTGCCACAAGTTCACCTATGCACTGATGCCACACGAGGGTGAGTGCCAGGCATGCCAGCGTTTTCCTATGCCGAGATACCCCCTACCCTTATTGGAGCCTCAGATAAGTCACCCTCCTTGGGACATACCCTAATAGCCTGACCCCTGCAAAGGGTTCCATTTTTACCATGTGTGCCTTTCTGGCCGTGCCCAGGCTCCTTCCAGGATGCTGGTGTTATCCCTGCTGCCTACAGCCTCAACTTCCCATTATTGGCACTGCCAGCCCCAGGCCCTGCCCCAGCCACTGCCTGGAGTGCCTTTTGGCTCTCCTCCCCAGCTGTCGTGTTGGAGACTGTTAAACAGGCAAGCAAGGGGGAGCTCTCCAGGGTCGCGGTCCCAGGCTGGCCATGCCCCGGCCTACCCACCACCTGCCTCCCTCCCTAGGCCGAGACCACAACCCAGAACCGCACGCTGGTCCTGCGGCTGTACGAGGCCCACGGCAGCCACGTGGACTGCTGGGTGCACACATCGCTGCCCGTTCAGGAGGCCGTCCTGTGAGTGGAGGCGTGGGATGGGGTTGAAGGTGGGAGTTCCACCCTCTCTGGCCCTGATGACCCCACCTGTTCCATAGCTGCGACCTCCTGGAACGTAGAGATCCTGCTGGCCACCTGCCCTTTCAAGACTCAAGCCTAAAAGTCACCTTTTCTCCCTTCCAAGTGAGGTCCCTAGTGCTCGTGCTCCAGCCTCCATCAAACTGAGTACCTGGGGGTGATGTTTTGTTTGTGCAAGACATTGGGACTCAGTTGCCTCCCCAGCCTGAAACAAGGACCTGTCACGTCTGGCACAATAAATTCTTGGCTCAGTGCAGCCTTGCTAGTCACTCCTGCTGGCTCTCCTTGGGGCCTGTCTTCAGCTTTGGGGAAGAAGGGGAGGGTTTCTTCCCAGGGATTTGGAGACAGGGTAAGATCGAAGGTTACCTTTGTGGGCAGTGTGTGGGTAACAGCCCAGAGCCTGGGGACTGAGATGAGGCGAGGGCCTGGGAGGAGGCCAGGTGGGTGCGTTCTAGCTGGGCCTATGGGAAAGCAGTGTGACCAGTCAGGGCCAGGCTAGGGGACAGCCACTGGGCCTGAAAGAGCCTGGCCTAGAGGAGCTTAGAGCCTTGGCTGCATGTTATACATTTGGTTTGTAACACACCACCTCCCATGCTCTGATAGCCAGAGCCTTGAGGACAGGTAGGGGTTCAGTCTGCCTTGCCAAGGAGGTCCCATCCCCAGGGCTGGCTGGGCATCAGGCTTCATTCCAACCTAGCCATTGAGCCAGGCATGGGGTCCCCACATAATCCCAGCAGCACTTGAGAGGCTGAGACAGGAAGATTGCCACAGATTCAAGGCCAGTCTGGGCTACATAGTGAGATCCTAAGAAAATAAATAAATAAAAACAACCTAGCCATTATAGATCTGCAGCCAGCCGAAGAAGTGCCAAAAAGTTCAAATTTATTCATTCATTTAAAAATACTGCATTTTCCATATGGGCTTTAAAAATGTGGAATATGGGGTACAATTAAAAACATCACAGTTGAGCAGGGAACAGCCACAGGCCGCAGCCATACAGCCCTTCCCGTGTTGCTTCTAGGAATTCAGACAGGCCAGGTTCGCAGCAGGGCACCCAAAAGAGTAAGTGCAAGCAAGGAGACCAGCTAAGAGGCTGCGGTGCTCCCAGACTCCTCAGATGGGGTGTCAGCCTTCCTCTTCTGGGGTCTGCGGCGGCCTGGGGGAGAAGAGGAGAGGAGATGGTGTGCTAAGACCCCGTTCCGGGCCTGTGCAACAGCCTTCCCCCACCTGTGCACATGTTCCTACAGGGCGGGCATCCCACCTGCTGCCCGAGGCCCACTTCCCCACCTGTGGTGGCCTGTCGCCGCCGCCTCCTCCTTCTGCCTTTCTCAAGGACTGTGGGAGCTCCTGGGTCATGTTGGAGGCCTGGCTCCTCAGGCTGCTGGGCTACAGTCACCTCAGGAAGGTCCCTCTGAGCCTCTGGTGTCTTAGAAGGGCCCTTGATCACAGGTGGAGGGTGCTTGGTAGAAGAGACACAGGTCCTGAGGGTCCCTGGTGGGCTTCCCTCAGAACAGCATATGTTGGTCAGGACTTGCCCACCTCTGTGTCAGGGCCAGGCAGCTGGCCCTAAGCCCAGCCTGGGAAGTGCAACCAGGGCGAGGGTGCGTGGGAGGCAGGGGTTGGCAGCCGTACCTCCATTCCATCCAGGGGTCCTGGGTGAGTTTCCTGGGATTTCTTTTTTCGGGACTTGCCCCCTACAGGACACTTTGCTGGGGTTTGGGGGTCCTGTAGCTTCAGCCCTTCCTCTAGCCACCCACTCCATGGGGCGGCTCCTTAGCTTGTTACATCAGCAGTTGCTTACCTTTGGGGGCCAGGGGGCCAGGATCCCCCTAAAACAGAATAAGCAGAATTGTGGCATCTGCCTGTGTTGGACAGGAGCAGCTTTCCCTCCCACCCTTGGCAGAGGGGAGGGCCATCATAGGAACGATGTGGCCCTTGGGGACCTCCGTGGCCTCCAGGCATCTCCACCCCACCAGTTTCCCCGGGTTTTGTGTGCCTTTGAGCAGCAGAGCCCAGACCTGGAACCAGATGGTGCGGCCATTGCGGTCCCGCAGGGAGCTCATGCCCGGCACACTGTAACACTGCAGCCAGGCTCGGAAGGCAGCAAAGTCTTCCTCCCCTTGTTCCGACCCGTAGCCTTTGCCTCCTGTGGAACACAGGGACCCAACAGAGGTCAGAGGCCTGCTGACTCTGGGCAGGAAGAGTGGGACCTGGTCCCGTGCGGCCCAGACCTCAGCCACACAGCTATGACTGAGGCAGCAGCCAAGCTCCCCTCTTGCCACTCACTGTGTCATCATGGCTGTGCCTTCCCCACTCTGGCCCAGCCTGCAGTGGCCCTGCTTGCTGTGTTGCACCCTAGAGGAGTCAGGCACTGGCCGGCCAAGAAGGCTGTGAACTCCCACCCCCAGTGGGGGAGCCAAGCCCAGGAGGACAGCTGCCCAGGTTGCACAGTAGAGGTCACAGGCTGTTTTGTTCCCTGGGCCTCACCCAGCTGGACCACTTCCTTGGGCACCGAGTGGCAGAGTTCCAACAGGTCTGGGTTCTGTAGCTTGGCCCTGATCTTCTGGCTCAGAGTAAGTTCCGGGCTCTGGAGAGGGGCAGGCAGAGCCTGGCTGTCAGCTTGGAGCAGGGCCCCAAAGGGGCTCATCCCCTCCCCATCCCCCTCACATGGAGCCAAGCTGGGCCACCCCACACCCAGGCCACATGTCCACATCCCCAGGGTGCCCTCACCAGCCGGTGACGCTGCAGGGCCTCCAGGACTGTACGTGCCTTCTCAAAGGGTGGGATCCTCAGCCTGGAGTAGCAGGGGACAAGAGGGGGCCATGCTGAGCCTCGACAGTGGGAATACCTGCCCCCCCCAGCCCATACCCATGGCCTGCCTACTGACCGGAACAGGATTTCTGCTCGCAGGTAGTTGCCAATGCCGTTGAAGAACCGCTGGTCCAGGAGGGCCTCACAGATGGGCCGGTTGAAGGCCTTATCTGCCAGGTTTCGGAGCACATTCTCCCTGGGGAGCAAGGCCTGGGGTGTGAGGCCTGTACCCCACTCCTGAGGAAGTGGGGAGGAGCTGGGAGAAACTTACTAGGTGCAAGGAGACGAAACAGGGCCCCAGCTCTCCCTGTCACAATGCTATTTGGGCCGGGAGCCTCAGGTTTCCTATCTGTTCGGTGGGGACAATATGAAACTTAAATTTATTACGAAAGGTGAAAAACAGCAATCAGAAGCAGCATGTTCAGGGGCGCATGAGTCTGTACGTGTGCGTATGTGCTCAGGACGCTTGAGCACAACGTGAGTGAGCACAGGGCCTCTGGTGTGTGTGATCCAGAGCTCCCTTTGAGGACCCCAGTGGCTTAGGCTATGCGTGTGGGTTTGATCCTGCTCTGAGGGGTATCTGGCTGACCACCTGCAAGGGTTGAGGGTCCTTCCCCTACTCCCAAAGAAGCATTTTGCAAAATGCTTCTTTAGGGAAAGACTCAGAGCAGACTGGCTGGGCTGGGGGCATGAGAGTATGATGGAGCCAGAGGACCAAGTCTGGGGAAAGAGAAGACCACAAGAGAATGAAAGGGTCTCTGGGTCTGCTCAGGCTCCATGGGCTTCCCAGCAAGAGGGCCCCCAAAAGAGCCTTGCTGTCCATCAAGAGAGAAGCTTCCAGCAGGCCAGTTCTACACCTTCTACTCAGGGCCAGCTTGGAGCTCTGTAGAAGGTTGGTAAGGCCTTCTTCCTAGCTGTCCAAGAAAGTTAAGGTGCACAGAAGCCAGGACCCAGGGCAGACTTGTTCCAGAGTGTGCACCCAGGTTCATACTGGGGCAGGCCAGAGATGCACCAAGTCTTCTGAGGCCCAGCTGTAGGCACACTGTCCTCCTCCCCCCGCCCCACCCCAGGACTGAGAACCTGCTAAGGCCATCTATGACTCCGGCCAGTTGGAATCCTCTCCTCTCCTCTCAGATTTGTGGGGCTCTGTCCCTCCCCAAGCAGCCCTACCCAGTGCCCCCACACCGCCATCAAAGTCACCCTCTGCACCTTCACCTGCTGGATTTTTCCCAGCTCATGTGCCTCAGTTCATCCTGTGTTTCCTGTTCCCTCCCAGCTGATGGTAATGCCCAGCCCAGGGCAAAGCTGGCACAGATTAGTGACTGACTCCTCTGAGGGGATGGAAGTTGCTGGTGCCCTGTCATGTTAGGAGAGTAGTATCAGATCCCAGGTGGGGTGCTACCTCTCCTGCAGCAAGGGACACTCACAGAGGAGACCCCAAGACACAGACTCATGGGCGGGCAGTATATGGGAGGCCAACCTGACTTAGGAGCTGTCATCAGGCAGCTTCCCCACCAGCCTTCTGAAACAATCCCTGTGCTCCAAAAGCGGTGAGTCTGCAGATTGAACCCAGGGCCATATACATACCGAGCAAGGCTCTACCACTGAGCTACATCCATAGCCCCTCTTTAGGTTTTATGTTTAGACAGGGTGGCTCAGCAATCCTCCTGCCTCTACCTCCCAAGAACTGGGGTTTATAGGTGTGGGCCACTCCTGGCCCCAGCCTTGCTTCTTTTTTTTGGTTTTTCTCCGGTACCAGGAACCGAACTCACGACCTTGCGCTTGCCAGGCAGGCGCTTTGCCGCTGAGCTAAATCCCCAGCCCCCCCAGCCTTGCTTCTTACCCTCTGCTCCTTCTAGGGAGAGGGAGCACCAAGAAACTATGGCCTTTTGGGTGCAAACTGCAGCCCATTATAGTGATTCTCTGCTCAGGCAGTGGCCTCTCTCACCCCGGGGCTCAAGGAGCCGACCAGGGTGGGAGCACTACCTTGGTCCTCATACCGGGTGCCAGTCCTACCTGAACTGTTCATACTCCAGCAGGACACAGGGTCCCCGATCTGGGTGCCACTCGCCCCCCAGGTCCCAGCGGCCAAAGCGACGGATGTCCACGAAGCACAGGGCCAGACGGGGGGCAGGGGAAGCCGTGTAAAAGCGCAGGTGGGCGTGGGGTGGCAGGGCCTCGGCGGGCGCCAGCTGGAAGGAGCCGGTCATCCCGAAGCGGAAGACCAAGGCCAGTGGCTCCCGAGTGGGCTGGGCCCCGGGCAGGGGGCTTAGCGTCAGGCGCAGCTCCTTGCCCCGGGCCGTGGCCGAGATGCAGTAGGCGCTGCTCTCGAAGGGCACCTCGGGGTTGCGGCTGACCGGGGACTTCTCCACCGCCCCACAGAACACCAGCCCGCGGCAGGCCTGGTTCAGGAAGCAGCTGGCCAGGTGCAGCTCGGGGCCCTCGGGCATCCTGTGAGGAGGCGACAGGACAGGCCAGTGAGGCAGGCGTCACTTGTGTTAGTCAGAGGAGGTGACAAGAGTCAGGATCAGCTGGGGCTGGCCGGAGATGCTGTCCCCACGCAGAATGAGCGACAGCCCCGGGAGCTGGACTCCGTTGGGGCAGCGGCCCCCGTCCTGCTCACTCCCTGCTGCCCCGGGCTTCCCTGCTGCCTGTAGATCAAGTCCCAACCTCTCCGGGCCATGCGATCCCTGTGCGGCCGACCCGCCACTCTTTTCCGAGGAGGCTCCACGCACCCCGCTGCTCCTCCGGCTCCCAGATCCGGGGGACTCTAGCCCTGCCCCCTCCACCCACGCCACTCACCCGCCCCGAGCGAGCCCAGATTGGCAGAAACAACGCTCAGGTCCCGCGACCCCCCGGGGCTGCTTTCCTGTGGTTAGGGCGCCGCGGGAGCTGGCCTGGGAGGCTTCAGGGGTCTGCAGCCACCAACACCACCACCAGCCCCCCGCCCACCCCTCCGCCCCACTCTCCGCCCCACTCTCCGCCCCGGGTTCGTGGGCGGGGCCCGAGCGCAAGGGCCGCCGGGAGAGGAGTACAGTGCCGGGAGAGGAGTACAGCTCCGGGAGGCGCTCGCCGTCTGTTCCCGATTGTGAGCGTGAGCGGGGCAATCTGTGGACCTTCCCTTCGGGAGGAGGGCGGGTCACAGCTGGGGCTGCAGTGGGGGAGTCGCTGCGGATCCCAGGCGGGGTGACACCTCAGCAGGAAGCAGCTGCTACGCCCCCAGCACAGATGTGAGCGCAGGTGCACGTAGGCACTGCCCCTGGGGACCCGGTGGTGGCCGACAGTGTCACCGCGCACACGTAACACAAAACATCCACGCTGTATGGCAGATGGGGAGTGCACCCTCAGTAGGACCCAGGGGCCCAGAAACAGCCCATTTCCGATTTTTGGTGTTGTCTGAGGTAAAATTTAGGCCAAAACACAGAGACTCAGGCACAAAGCCAGCACAGATGTGTGGCTGTGGGCAGGTACCAGATGGACTCAAGGAAGGGCCGGGCAGAGGCCCGGGGGCAGATGGATGACAGCGACCAGTCCTGTGTGGCTGCAGTGTCGCTGGGGGCCGGTCTAGGTGGTGAGGACAGAAAGCTGCATTTCTCTAAGTGCAGCGGGCACTGGTGTCTGTCCACAGACATGATTTGCCCGCCATCCTATTACTGGTTGCCCCACCTCATCCACTTGTTTATGTTAGCAGAAATATTTTAACTTGGACAAATCATGACATTTTATCGTGAACACGTCAGCAGCTCTAAAAAGCCATAGTACCTTTAGCAAGCCTAAGAAAGTTAACCATGACTTCTCAATGCTAATTCCTAGTCCACATTTAAACTCCTCCACCTTCCCCAAACACCCACCCCGCCAGGGATTGAACCCAGGCCTCAAAATCCTAAGCAACTGCCCAGCCAATGAGCCATACTCTCCAGTCCTCTTCTTTTTCCCCCAGTCCTCTTTTTAATTGTTTTATTTTGAGACAGATACAACTTGTCATCCTCCTGCTGCAGTTTAGCTGGGTTTATAGGCATGTGCCATCACACCCAGCCCAAAACATCTGTTAGAGCTGGTTTGCTCAAAGTAAGGATATGCCTCTACTAATTTAATCTCCGTGGAATCAGCCATCCTACCCATCTCATCTTTTTTTTTTTTTTTTTTTTTAACTTTGGCACTGACCTTTCTGAAGAGTCCAAGCCAGTTGTCACTCGAGATAGGTACTCCCTCACGTTCTGGATTGGTGTGAATGTGTCCTCTAGGCACCATTAACCAGGAATGAGGTCTGAATGCTGGATCCTGTGTATTCAGGGACACCTTCTAGGTGCTGACCCAATATCTGCTGGTCCTGCTTTAGTGAGACTCAATTTGCCTAAGGCAGACACTGTCACAGTCACACTTCTGTGCTGCGAAAGTTACGGTTCACATCTTATAACCACTAAGTAAGCTGTGGGGTGATTTCTTCTTGTTCTCATTTAGAGTGTTTAAATTAAGATATAATTTGCATACAGTACAATTCATCTTTTTTAGTGTATTTTTTTCCTTTTATTTATTTAGTGGTACTGGGAATTGAACCCAGGGCTTTCCACTAAGCTACATTTCCCAACCTTTTCATTTTTTGAGACAGGGTCTTGCTAAACCACTAAATTTTCCACAATCATAAGTTCCAAGGGCTTGAACTTATGATTTTCCTGCCTCAGCCTTCTAGAGTGCTGGGATTACAGGCCTGAGCCACCACAGCTGGCTTTAGAGTATGACTTTTGATAAACACATAGGGCAGCTGTTGCCACAGTCAGGAGATATGAGCTGGGTGTGGTGGCAGACACTTATAACCCCAGCACTCAGGAGGCTGAGGCAGGAGGATCACCATGAGTTGGAGGCTAGCCTGGGCTACATAAGGAGTTCCAGACCAGCCTCAGCTACATAGCAAGACTCTGTCTCAAAAAACAAACTAAGCCGTGAACAGACCAAGGGTTCGAGGGTGGGTGGGGGCAGAGGGCTGCTCCCCATGGAAGAGCAACAAACTTCGGTTGTGCCAGTCCAGAGCTCTTTGGCACATCCTGCATCTGAAGTTAGCACCAGTGCACTGCACATCACAGCAGTAAGAAGTGACCTCACCGTAGCGTGAACACACTTCACACTCCCCAACTTGCCCAGGCACCTTGCAGGCAGCACCTCATCCTCACACAGGGTCTCACAATGTTGCCCAGGCTGGCCTCCAACTTGAAGTTCTCTTGCCTCAGCCTCCCGAGTAGCTAGGCTAACTGGTGTGCACCACCATGCCTGGCTTGGACTCATGCATTTTTCACATTCAACATTTTAAACTCCATCACAGTCCTTATCTCGCCACTGTCCTTCGATTGAAAGAATTTTTATTAGGCTCTGAGGTGAGATCCAAACATGGAAACACAGTTGCTATCCATAAGTGCAGGCTCAGAAGACAAATGACTGAACAGAACGTGATGTCCCATGACCGCCAAGAGTAGCTGGGACTCTCATGAGGACAGACGCTGCCCCAGAACCAGCGGCTGGTGTGTGAATGCATAGGGCGAGACAGGCCTTGCTGTGTGATTTTTTCATGTAGTAGCATTTTCCTATTTCTTATTAGTACACTTGTGATACCATCACTGTGATTAGTACACATAGTAGATGCCTTTACTGTGGGGAAACTGGTGCATATACACTGTGAGTCTTCATAGATTTTACTTCTTTCCCTCTGCGCTGTCTCCCCACATCCTCAGGTCCCCTTTCCAGCCATTCATTCAAAGAACTAACTCTGATTCACTGATCGCTTGTATTATTTTAATCTCAATTTCACTAATTTCTGCTCTGCTCTTCGTCATTTCTTTCCTCCTATTAGTTTCTGATTCAGATTATTTCTTGTCTTTCTAGGACCTTGAGCTGCACCAATAGGTTACTAACTTGGGCTCTACAACACTAAACCTCCCTCTTAGAAGTACTTTCATTGCGTCCCATGGGAACTGGGATGTTATGCTTTTGTTGTCCTTTTTGTTCCTTTCCATTGTCATTTGATTCTACGAAGTTTTTAAATTTCTTCCCCAATTTCTTCTGTGATCCACTGATCATTCAATAATGTATTATTTAATCTCCATGTGTTTACATAGTTTCTGTGGATTCTTTTGAGGCTGAGTTCTAGCTTCATTCTCTTATGATCAGTGATATGCGGGGGCTATTTCTGTTCTTTTGTATTTGTTTAAGATTGCTTTATGGCCTCAGATATGGTGTATTTTGGAAGAAGTTCTATGTACTGCTGAGAGAAATGTGTATTCTATCACTGTTGGATGAAACCCTTTGTAGGTATGTTAAGCTCAATGGTTATGTTACCTCAATGTAGGTAAGCTTGTTCAATGGTGTGGTTTCACTCTAATGCTGATTTCTTTCTGGTTGACCCAATAGTGAGAGTATTGAAGTCTCCCACTTTTTAAGTCTAATAGTTTCTGTTTTATAAAATTGGGTGACCAGAATTCAGGGCATGGGAATTTACAGTTGTTACCTGGCTTCCCACTGCGGATGGGCCGTGCATTCTGCCTTCGCTCAGCAGTTGAGAAAAGAAGGGACAGGCAGGGAGGTCAGGATGTCACTTAGTCTCTCGTGGAAACCCTGGATCAGAAACCAAAAAGGGAAACACACACTCCTTTATACTCTCTTTATTCTTCCTGCCTTTCGAGGGGAGGGAGGCAATGCAGGAAAGGCTCTCAGGAGTCTGCGCTGAACTCTTGAGTGAGAAACCAGGAGATGCAAGAGGCCTTGGCCAGGCCTCCCACATGCAGAAATGAAGCCACCCCTGAAGTTAGGGGACAGCAGCTTGACACAGACGGCAGCTGAGCTCCTCCTCCTCCTTAACCCAGGGCGCTCATCAGGGCCTGGGCCTGCTTCATCTCTGTGGGGAAAAGTGGCAAAGGGAGGCCATCAGCGAGGTGGGGAAGGCCACACGCACCTCCCTCCCCCAGGGCAGTGCAGCCTCACCTGCCAAGAGGACCTGGAACTTGTCCGCTGACAGCGCCATGGCCACAGGCTGGGCCACAACACCGGGGGCCGCTGCCACCTCCAGCTGCAGGTGCACCAGGGGCTCCTCCACAGAGCGAAGCAGACTAGAGGACAGGGTGTAGTCCACGCGCCAGCCCACGCCCACCAGCCTGTTCACTGCAAGGGCACAGGATGCAGGGCACATTCAGGTATGTGAGCCAGGTGGGCTTGTCCCTATCCCAGTCCGGTCCAGCCTGGTCTGCAACCTTCAAGGCCATGTGGCCTCTGTCCAGGCCGGGCACAGAGCGGGTGCTCATAACAGGCTTCAGAGAACAGAAAACCAGGCTGCAGTCGGAGACCCGGAGCCAGGGCAGACACTGCACACACAAACACACCCACACATATGCACACCCCACTCACCGCGCAGGCTGCAGGCACGAAGGGTCTCCTGCAGGGCGCCCTGCTTCTCCTCGTAGCAGCGGCACAGGCTCGCTGCGTGCTCTGTGGGCAGCAGTACACTTGGGTAGCAGTGCCCAGCCGGGCCCACATAGCCCCACTCCTGCCAGCAGCCGCTGCCCTGGGTCCTGACCACTCCCCCTGACCCACCTTTGGGGAGCCCCAGCTGCTGCAGCTCACTGGACAAGGACTCGCCATCTACGCTGTGCTTGGCTGCACTGGACAGGATAAAGCTCAGCACCGCCACTGTAGCCTTCACGTCCCCAGACTCTGGAGACCAGAATAGGAGGTGTCATTGCAGCCACAGCCATCTCCCTGAGGCACAGGCCCCATGACTGCTCCCCTAGGAGCTGGCAGAAGACTGGGCATCCCCGCTGGGGGGTTATCCCTTCCTGCACTAAGGCAGGGAATACGAGGGGACCAGGCTAAGTCCCAGGTCACCCAGGATGTGTGACACAGCAGGCTTCTCACCAAATTTGGCATCCGCTGTGAGCTTCAGGATCTTTTCATACTGCAGAGAAAGGAGGCACTGAGGGGGTGCAGAAGCCACCAGCCCCATGCCCCCAGCCTGGACCCTGTGGGAAGGATGGGCTGGGCTGCAGGGAGGGATGGGGTGTCTGGGAAGGCCGCAGGACAGCAGGGTGACAGGCCCTGTACTCACATCGATCCCCTGTCCCAGAAGCTCCCTCAGCACCTGGCTACACAGCAGCCGCAGCTTCACAGAGGACTGGAAGGGAAGTCCCTGTGTCACCTGGACCAAGCTGACTGGCCCTCAGTGCTAGGGGCAGGGTCAGAGAGGGCAGCCACATGACCAGGTCACAGAGCATGAGAACAGCTGAGTGACCTCGCCATCCCCCCAATCCACATGGACCCGTGCACTCAACTATCTTGGCCAGTGTGCTGATCTCCGCCAGAACCCAGTCGGGACAGTCCAGGTCCCCGCAGAACCGGAACCTCTGCAAGGAGTGAAGCAGACAGGCTATAGGAGGGTGAGGTGTAGCCAAGACCCATGCTGCAGACAGTCACTGTGGGCAGCTTGTTCTCCCCATCACCCAGCTGTTTAGAGAACTCTTCCTGACCACAGCCACCAGACTTTCTCTTATGCCCACTCTAGGCCACAATCTGCCAACTGGTGCCTAACTATATGCCTTCCCCAGGGCAGACCCATCCCAAGTGCTACACAGCAGAAGCCCAACAGTGCCCGAGGAGATCCTTCACCCCATCCCTGCTGAGGTTCAGCCACACCATTTCCCTGCTGTCCGGCTTTTTTTTTTTTTTTTTTTTTTTTGGTACTAGGAACTGAACTCAGCACCTTGCGCTTGCCAGGCAGGCACTGTGCCGCTGAGCTAAATCCCCAGCCCCAGGCCCACCAGTCTTGCTCCTGCCTTCATCCTCGATATCCCTCTCACCCTGCTCTAGCCTCTGCTTGAACAATGCCTCAATGGATGGGCCCTTCCGGGTCCCACTTTCTAAAGCGGTCCCTTCTGGGCGGCAGTGGGGGTTCTCAGTATCTTCACGCGAGCCCAGCGAGACTGGGCTCTGTGCGCCTGCCCTTCCCCAGCCTCCATTCCCTTCCCCGGGGTCTGCACACCACCTCCCATCCTTACGCAAAACTCGGGTACAAGGACTGTGCCTCATCCAGCTGTATTGTCCTCGGCTCCCTCATTGATGTACCCTCAGGAAGCCCCCTAATTTAATCCAATCTACACAAAGCCCAGTTAGCCTCTGCTCCTGGAGTGCTTTGCTGTTTTATTTTGGAATAGGAGGACTGAATCTTAGTCTTAGCACTGAGCTACATTCCCAGCCCTTTATTTTTTATTTTGAGATAGAATCTTGGCAAATTGCCGGGGCTGGGATCGAACTCTTGATCCTCGAGCCTCAGCCAGAGTGCTGGGATCACAGGCGTGGACCACCACGTCCAGATGGAGTATTAAACTTGACGCCAGTGCAAGCTCTGACTTTCCCTACGCTCCTCAGCTGAAATCCCAGGCCAGGCAGGACCCATCTGTGCAGGGCTACAGGGCGGATGCCCCAAGCCCGGTGCAAAACCGCTTCCTGGGGACAGCGGGCGGCTTCCGGAGGCGGGCCTGGGTGGGGGAGGAATCCACGGGAGGCCAGAAACGGGCGCCTCAGGACGCCTCGCCGCGGGGAAAACAGGGCCACCCGGCTTCCCGATCGCCTCGACTCTGCTCCCTAACCCGCCGGCCCGCGCTCGTTCTCACCATGGCGCCTGGAGCTTGCAGGCAGCGATTTCCGGTGCGATCAGATGACCACCTACTGTCACGTGACTGGAGCTTGTTTGCGGAGGGGGCGGGGCCGCGGAGAGGGCGGGGCGCCTGAGGAGGCTACCACTCGAGGTTCTCTTTGTTACTATTCTCAAATAATGTATTGAAGCCAGGCGTGGTGGTACATGCCTGTAATCCCAGCACTCGAGAGGCAAGAGGATCAACATGAGTTTCAGGTCAGCTGAGACTGTCTCACAAAATATCCAAAAACTAAAAAATAAATATATATGAACTTTATTGAAATATGATATGTACAGGAAATTGAACATGTGAGGTGTCATCAAAATATACAGTGAATATTTAAATTTTTAAAAATTTTTAGTCAGTAAAAGACACATTGCCATGAATTTCCCCAAATCCTCCCCCTTACTTCGAAGACATCCCATTGATCTTGATGCTTTTTTTTTTTTTTTTTTTTTTTCTTTTTGAGACAGGGTCTTGCTATGCAGTTCAGGCTGGCCTTGAGCTCACTTTGTAGCCCAGGCTGGTCTCGAACTCTCAAAGATCCTCCTGCCTCAGCCTCCCAAGGGTTGGGATTACAGGCGTGCGCTACCATGCCCAGCCATCTTGCTGCTTTCTGAAGCAAGTCTGGAAGTCCACTTTCCTGAGTGTCTTGATGAGGTATGATAAAAAATACAGTGAGTGCTGCTGCCCACTCCCAGCCAACAGAAAGGCAGAGTCGGAAGAACACTGCAGTGTGTCCTCATCTACCTTATTCACCAGATCTGGCACCATGCAACTTCTGGCTTTTCCCCAAAGCCACAATGGCCACGAAAATAAAACATTTTTAATGGACTCAGGACATTGAGACAGCCGTCAAGCATCCCAATTCATGCCACCCCACTCTGGACCTAGGGTGTGCACATCCCCAGGCCAGGAATGGTCCCAGTGTGACCTCCTGCTTCTGCCCCATGGCACCAGGCAGGAAACAGCCTACTGGACACCATGCCCATACCTGCTTGCCCCCTTAGGGACTGCTGAGCCCCAGACCTAGCCTGGTCCCAGCCACATCCACTGAGGCTACAGCCCACAGGAGCTCTGGGTCCCCAGCCCGCATCCTCTAGGCTGAACCATAGAGGAAGTGTTGGGTTCCAGGAGGTCACTGCAGTGCCGTCCATCTGGCCTTCTCCTGCTCATGGGTTAGGGCAAAGATCCGGCAAGGGGCCTGTGTTATCTGTGACTATGCATGCTCTTACCTCTGCAACCCCAAGGACACCTTCACCTCCAGACCAGACCAGCATCCAGCTGTCATTCCCCCCGCCCCCTCCACACCTGTGTCCACATCTGCTGCTGCCTCCACAGAGCTGGGCTCCCCTTTGCACCAGGGGCTGACCACATCCAGCCCGAGGCCTTCCCAGCTCTGGCTCCCTCAGGACCCCTGGGGGTGCTGACCCCACCTGGCTGCCGCTCCAGCCCTCCCTGGCCAGGCAGGCTCTGTACAGGGCTCAGTGTCCTTCACCCTGGGACCCAGGCACACAGCACATTCTGTGACCTTCAGGTTCACCAGTGAGGCTGTCTCCACTACTTTTTTTTTTTCCACCACTTTCTGCAGCTCCGAGTCCCTGGGGCACTTGGCTCCTGAGTGGGTGCCCCCACCAGGCTCTGTGGGCCCCCTGTGGCCTGCCTCCCTGCTGAGCACCCCAGGCCTGGCCACTCAACTCTTGGCCCAACCTGGCAGAAGTGAGCAGTGGGAGCCTGGGAAGCAGAAAGCCAGGGAGATCCAGGGAAGAAACCTCCCTGCTGCAGAGATCTCGCCTGGCATCCAGAGGAGGTTCTTGCTGTGTGGCCCAAGGCTGCTCCAGGAACCCATGTGTCCTGGCACCACCAGAGCCAGGCACTGTTGTGCCTCGGTTGGAGCCCTGGGTGACAGCGGAGCCTTGGGTGCCATTCTGCGCCTGACCGCCAAGGGGAGCGCTGAGTAGCTGTCCGTCATTCATTGGTTCATTCCTTCAGTCTTTGTTGTTGTTGTTTGTCTTTTTTTTGAGACAGGGTCCCGCTGTGCAGTTCAGGCTGGCCTTGAGCTCACTCTGTAGCCAAGGGTGGTCTCGAACTCGCAACGATTCTCCTGCCTCAGCCTCCCGAGTGCTAGGATTACAGGCGTGCGCCACCATGCCGGGCTATATTTGTTTTGTTTTTTGTCTTTTTGAGACAGGGTCTCATTATGCAGTTCAGGCTGGCTTTGAGCTCACTTATGTAGCCCAGGCTGGTCTCGAACTCTTCTTAAAATTACTGGGTGCCCGCTAAGGGTTAGAGGAACAGGGCTCCTGCGCTCGGGTGGGTTTCTGTCTGCACAGGGAGAAACACAGAAGAAATGATGAGGGTGTCACTGCAGACACCTAACAAGCTAGAGAAAGGGAGAGACAAGCCCGGCCTGGAGGCGCCCTTGAAAGGCTGAGGCAGGAAATCGCAAGTTCCAGCCCAATTTCCCTGGGCAGTTTAGGACTCCGTCTCAAAAATAAATAAAACAGCCGCCTGGTGGCGCTCGCCTATGATTCTAGCACTGGCTGCTAGGGCAGAAAGATCGCTGTGAGTTCGAGGTCACCCTGGGCTACATAGTGAGTTCAGGGCCAGCCTGAACTGAATAGCGAGATCCTGTCTCAAAAGACAAACAAACAACGACAAAAATAAATTTGAAAAAGGGGGAAGGTGCAGACAGGCTGAAGACATTCCCAGCATGTGAGGTAGCCCAGAGGGCACTATTCTAAGAGAGGGGCAGGTGCTCTGGGGTGAAGGGAAGGGAGCGGAGAGGGAGCAGCAGGTGCCAGGATCCTGGGTGACAAGGTGGTCCAAGGAGGGCAAGCAGGCAGGCTCAGGCCTCTGGTCCTCAGCTCCTGCCCCTGTACCTCGAGGCTTTCCCCACCTTCAAGGCTGTCGGTGTCCTGATGCTCAGGTGAGTGAATGCAGCACAGGCCACCGTCCCCGGCTGCTAGCCTCACCTGTCCCCTGCGACCTCAGTGGCTTGAGGCTGATTCCCCTGAACAGCAGTGCCAGGGACACCAGACAGCATCTGGGTACAGTGGGGAGGTGGAGGCTGTGGGATGGGCCGGAAATAACCTGTTAATAGACGCTAGCCCCCTGGGGTCAGGTTCTTTTTGGTTCTGAGCCTCTGGGGAAAGAGAACCCCAAACAGTAGCTCTGATTTTGTGAGAGTTCAAGAAGGTCCAGGTCATCGCAGCCCCACTTGACAGTGAGCTCTGGGTAGACTCAGAGCCCTCTAGCTAACTTCTTCCCAATGCAGGGATTGAATGCTCCCAGTGATGGGGAGCTCACTATCTAAGCTCCAGCTGATTAGGAAGTTTTCCCATTCGATGACCTGAAGTTTCCCTCTGTGACTTCCTGGCCCAGGGTCTCAACACAAGTCTTATGTCCCCACGCCTGGGATGGAAGTACGAGTTATTCTAGATCCTCAGCCTGCTGTTCTTCCTCAGCCCCCTGCCAAGGCAATGCCACCCCCAAAGAACGTGGCCAATGGATCCTTCTCTTACACGCTTTCAGGACTCCTCAGGTCTGTCACCTTCCTCTCTCAGAGCCCTGCTCCTTGTGATGCAGCCAACGGTACTTTTCTCAGTGTTGCCCGGACAAGCATCTCCGGGTTTATAGCCACTGCAGCCTGGCTGGGTGGCCCTGCCTGAGCTGTCCAAAACAACTCACCCTCGGGGAGCTGACTCTGCTCTCTCCTGGCTGCGCCATTCAGGCAGGACCCACAGCAGTCTTCAGGAAAGGGCGCATCAGTCTTTTTTGCGGGGGAGAAGGGGTTTGTGGCAGGGTTTCGTTAAGTATCAGGCTGGTCTGGAACTCAAAATGTATCCCAGAGCCGGGCGTGGTGGCGCATGCCTGTAATCCCAGCACTCGGGAGGCTGAGGCAGGAGGATCAGTGCGATTTTGAGACCAGCCTGGGCTACAAAGTGAGCTCAAGGCCAGCCTGAACTTCATGGCGAGACCCTGTCTCAAAAAGACAAAAAAATAAGTATCCCAGGTTGGCCTTGGACTCGCGGCAAGCCTGCTTGCACTATCATGCCCGGGAGGAAAGGGTACACCATTCCCACCTCAGAAGCAGGGTGGCCTGGGCCTGCTTTGCTCTTGCCCCGCCTCCACTGACTGGGTGGGCTCAGCTGGGCCCGCCCCGCCCCTTTGGGGCAGGGAAGCAGGGTTTCCTTCCACAGCCGACTCCGCCCACAGCCCGGACTCCACCCTGGCCCCGCCCACACGGCTCCTCCTCCCTTCACCTGCTCCCCTTGACCGTGGTCCCGCAGCCTTTGGCAGCCCTGGGTGTGAACCCTGAGCCCCAGAGCCTCCACCTTTCCCAGGAACCTGAGAGGGAAAGGCTCCAGCTGAGAATTACACAGCAAGAGACCTCCTCTCTCCTAGGACACCCAGACAGAGACTTAGGACAGCAACATGCTGTCACCTTGCTGGGGAGGCCAGCTGAGTTTGAACCCGACTCCCTACCCTGCCCCATGGTGCATAAAGTCGGGAATGACGCTTGCTACCTTTACCCTGCTTTCCTGCCCTAAGGGAAGAGAGGGAGCCAGACTAGGGCAGGGAGACCTGAAGCTGCTGCACTCGCTCACCTAAGGCCAGGCAGCTGGGGAGAAACGGCCCGTCCTGTGCGCGTCCACATCCCCCGTGCCATCTCCCCAAGCCTGGGGGACAGGCAGCCCCTATAGGCTTCTCAGGATGCCAGCATCCTTGGCACAGGCTCAGGGTCCCAGCTCAGAGACAGCAGGAAGTGGGGGTGTCAGCCTCGAAGGTGCTCACCCTGGACCTCTGGGGTACAGAAAAGGTAGGGAGCACCAATGGTGTAGAAACTGGCCAGGCGTGGTGGCGCACGCCTGAAATCCCAGCACTGGGGAGGCTGAGGCAGGAGGATTGTTGTGAGTTTGAG